CTCTCTCTCTCTCTCTCTCTCTCTCTCTCTCTCTCTCTCTCTCTCTCACGCACACACACACACATGCATGCATAAAACACCAGCATAAGTTATCACACAAAACATTAGTAAATGATCGCCCCCGGCACATCAACAGTCTGAAAGCAGACGGCTAGTTGAATTAGGCTCTCGTACCACAGTAGCACGGGTAACATTTCTTACAGTAGCACTAGTGTGGAAAAGTGGAGCAATTCTAACTTTACGACTATTACTACTATGCATCGGGATTTTCAAAATAATTCTGTAACTGGAGGTGGTAGGATATAGTTTGGGTTTAATGTGATTGTTTTTATTGCAAGATGTCAGAAATATGTCGAATAATATTGGTACTTTAAAATGATTTTGTATTTAAGTTTTGAAAAGAGTTACACCACTAGTTGTAATGAAGAATTGCTGGACCTCAAACCTCCTCAGGGCAAATGCTGTTTGCTGGGGAATGAATGGAGACCAGTAACTAGGCCACATCACTACACAGCAGTTTGTTCTGCACTGCAACAACGGGTGCAGATGTAAAAAAAAAAAAAAAAAAAGTTATACTTACAGTATATCATTAGTAACAACCCTGTCCTTCAAATAATATAACAATATCAGAAATCGTAAGAAGGTCGACAAAGCTAAATAAGAACAACTGCAACCTCATAGGCTACAACACATGTGTGCAGACACTGACTATCAGCCACAGGTGAGCGGGTGCACCGTGCATGTGCGCCGACACATCTTGCGGCGCTACCAGTTGCGTGGGTCAAATGCGTGTGGTCTTGACGCGCATCCATTCTGAAATATTAGTACGATCGAACAGAAGAGGTCACTGCGGAGACAACTGTCAAACACACGTGCTCCACACAGCTAACGCTAATAGAGTCTCTTGTTGAGGAAGCAGCCGCACTTTATGAAGACAAGTGCTGTGGAAACCATTGGTGTGTGAAAAATGTTATGTCATTTTTTATTTACAGTAATCATGCTGGCATCTGTCATTTAATAGTCACTTTGTTTAAAAGTAGAACAAAAAGATAATTTTGAAATGAAAGTTTCAGTGTCTTCCTCTTTAACCGCCAAACACTCCACCTGACTCCCCCCCCCCTCACCCCCACCACTCCCTCTCTTAACTATGTCACCTGCTGGCCAGAGGTGCTCGCTACCTTTTGCCTGCACTGAATGTATACCTCCCCCCCTCCCCCTCTTGCAAGCCCCTGCAGTGGATCTCTGGGAAAAAAATGGCCTCTGTCCCTTTTTTTTTTTTTTTAAAGCAGCTTGAACAGTAATATAGCATGTGTCAGGGAATGGAAAACAAGGCAAAAAAATATGCAGCAAGAAGCAAACTAGTAGGAATGGATGGCTGAGCCCGAGGCCGGGCCCGTGGCTGCTAGAAAGGAAGGAAGCGACTCTAATAGCCGAGCACAGCACCCCCCCCCACATCCCCCTCCTGCTCCTTCTCCTTCTTCTTCTTCTTCCTCCTCTACCACTTCTTCTTCTAAACTACTTTTTCATCGCAGCCGTGACTTCTTATTGTCTCATGTGGGAACGCGAATGTAGGTCATGTACAGTGACAGGAATCCGTCCTGAGCATTTCACATGTCAAACGGTGACCCTCCCCCCCCCCAAATGATTCCTCTCAGGGAGGGCGTTGAAGTGCAGAAGTTCAGTTTTTCTACTTCTTAATCTCCCCTCTCATTTACGAAGTTGTTTCATTCTTTGAAATGCTACAGTTAAGTATATATTCTTATTTTGTTTTGTTTGTGCTTCCTCAGGGTATCAAGACAGCAGGCACCGTCGTCGGGGGCCACGTCCGGATGCCCGTGGTGATCACGCAGTCCGTCAGAACGCAAGGTAGGACGTCTTGCCAGCAGGCCTTCTCCAGCCACCTCCAGATTCAATCGCATGCACAGTTATTGGCCATTTTTATTTCAGGGCCCTTCTTTCGTTCGTGTCGGAAGTGCAGTCACGGACGAAAGACGGTGGTAGCTTTGAGTCGTCCACCTTTTTGAAGAAGTCCTCCGACGCACACCCGGCTTCTGTTTCTGGCCTGCAACTTTTTTCTTTTTCTATTTTTTTTCTCTTCTCCCAGTGAGGCCAGATATTTCAAACTCAGCCCGACCTTCTGGTTGAATATAAAGAGCCAGAGAAATGAGTTAAACAAAGGTAGCCATTAGTGAAACCTTCACAGTTCTCTCAGTAGGCTGTAAGATGTGTAAACAAGCAGAAGCCACAGAGAGAACAGGTGCAAGCTTTTTTTTTTTTTTTCTTCTCCTGTCTGGTTATGAAGCCTTCTCAAACATTTGCGCTGCTGCTACTTACTCACACTGATTCACAAACAGTCTTCCCAACAGAAGCCCCTCAAATATCGCCCCAGCACCAGCCGGGCGTAACGCTCCCCTAAGACGAGCTGTGTTCTCTCAGGTGGTGTGTGTGTGTGTGTGTAATGTGTGTAATGTGTGTGTACCTATTTTTGTGCGTGTGTGCGATCGGAGGTGCATACAAATTTGATCTGCCCCCTTCCCTGCGATCGCCTGCAGTGGAAGATCTGTAGGTTGTTTTATGCCCATAAATTGGAATGCGGGGATAGTTTCTAAAAATACTTTGGCCGTGCCTCTCGGCGAGGAACATGCCTGTTAAAAATCAAGTTTAAATTCACTCTGGCAGTCCTTGTGCCTCTCTGGGAAAAAAAAAAAGGAGAAGAAAAAAACGTGTGTCTCGGAGCGGGATGCGTTCGGGGAGTGTAAGGAGAGGCCCGGTGAAGCGCAGTGGTATTGACAGAGCGACGCTCCTCAGCGCCGACCTGGGGAGGGCGACAGTACCGCTCCCCGCCCCCCCAACACCTCCCACCCCCCCCTTTACCCTCTATCCACCCCTGCGAGGATGACAGAGAGGCACTTGAAGGTAGTCGTTAGACGGGAGGATGTTTGACGCAGATAGAAGGGGACATTTCAATGATAACATTACTCCTTCCCTGTTTTGTTTAGTGTTTTCTTCTCTGTCCACCCCCCCATCACTTCTTCTCTTTTCTTAACAGGCACAATGGGGAAGGGAGGCCTCATCCAAGCGGGCAAAAGTCCCGCAGGCCTGGCTGCTGTTCAGATCTCTGGGAATCAGAAAAACAAGCTCAACGACCCTGGAGGAGGTTCTTTCAGGTACAACTCTCCGACTGCTGTTCCCGGCAGCCGTCACATGGGGGCAGCATTTCACTAAGATGCCCCCCCCCCCCCCCCCCCCCCCCCCTCCAACTGCGTGACTACAGGCTACACTGTCAGCTAAGGACTCCCAGTGTTTATCCCAGTTGCCTGCACTGGCCACCTCTCTCTCTCTCTCTCTCTCTCTCTCTCTCTCTCTCTCTCT